GGTCTCCGCCCGCCTGTCACGGTTCACAGGTTCAAACTTCTTCCCTGCAACCCCGCCTCAGACGCCTTCCACCACCGGGCAAGCGTTGAAACTGCAAATAACGTCTTCCGAATATCCTCCGCGCGCCATGGCCGACCTCAAGACACAGTTTGACGAGGTACAATGTCTACGGAGGGACTTGGGCGTCATGAGACAGCTCTACACCGATTTCATGAAGCAAACCAAAGAGTCTTTGAGCACTCTCCGTACACAAACTCAGACAGTGAAGCAACTGGCCAATGCAAATGTTGGTGGTGACCGTGCTATTGTCGACGCTGGGAAGCAGGCTCTCGATACTCGAAGTCAGAATATTTTGACAGAGGTGGAGAGGCTGCAGGATGCGATTGATGCTGTGAAGGCTGACGTACTGAAGAGACACATAACACCCAAACCGCAGTACATGAAGTCGATTCGGAAGGATGCAGACGCCGCCGCGGCCGAGCTGGGGAGCCTCAAAGAGCATCTTGCGACGATCAAGCCCATGTGGAAGAAGACGTGGCACGAAGAGCTACAGAATATCGTTGAGGAGCAAGAGTTCCTCAATCATAACGAGGAGCTCTTGGGTGATCTTTTAGAGGATCATAAAGCTTTAGGGGAGGTCCTAGGGCATCTGGAACAGGTCGTTACTATGGGATCGCACAGGGGCCGAGGGCGCCTTCCTGTGGTACGTACGGAAAGCAAGGGTGATCTAGGTACCGTGTTGATGCAGATACGAGGTGCGGCTACAGACCCGGAGAAGCGTCTGAAAGCCATAGAGGAGAGCCAGAAGAATCGAGAAAAAGAGAAGGCCAAGAAGTCGGACGACGATCTACAGGCCAAATTGACAGAGTTCGTCGGTGGGAAAAAGTTGAAACTAACGGGTGGGGTAGAAGAAGTGGAGCGGTTGAGGCAAAAGCGGAGCGATCAGGCGTTAAAGACCATGTTCAATGGCGCTCGTGCGGGTTTAAGCAGTCCTTGACTTCCCTATCCCATATTTTTTGGTGCGTCTTAAAAGTTTTTGTAGCAACTTCTTGGTTATACCAGTACATATGTAGATTTGCTCATCTAGTCGGACCTTTGTATATTTTCGGACTATTGTATATTGTAGGATCACCCTGTTATATAAATCCTAATCTCGTAGTATGTTTCCAGTAGCTAGCGTTGGTACCAAGTCGGTAGTCAGTATGTTGTATTTACTATTGTGCAAGAAGGCTGCTTCTAAATTTAGATCTTGGGCGCTGTTTCGCCTAAATTTAGATGCCTATATATTACCTATACTGCGGATACACTGGTTTCATTTCCAAACTTCCTCCCATAACAACGATGTCTGCAAGTCCTCCCCCTCCAGCCTATTCTAGCGCTACTGGAATTCAACTCGCTCGCGACGCAGAGCTTCTCATTCAGGACTTCTTACCTGCACCTAACGAATATACTGGTCCTTCCAACGGCATTCCCCTTCCTCTCTGTATCCCACAGATCGCCACTAAATTCGACTCTCCCTTCTCTCGCGGATACAACGATGTGCTATCGGAGGCTGTGAATATCCCTCAGGCTGAGCTTTTGGCTTTCATCGACGGTCTGAACCTCGCTATGACGGCGAGTCCACCCCTTCGAGTCGTGGACACCGCGGGTATGATCATTGGTCTCATGTTGGTGCTTTGAATCAAACTGTTTGACAATTATTACTAACTCAAATTCCCAGACCATATCATTGGACAATAATAGCTAGTGTCGCAATGCAGACCGCGGCCCAGACGGGGATGCGTGTCTTATCGAAAACTCTTACGGACCGTTACCTGCGCGCGGCCAATCAGCGCATATTCAAACCGCGAGGCCTCTCCGTCCGCTTGTGCACTACGAATGCCATGTTGCAGCTAATCTCTAATGGAGGCGGGGAACCGCCTAAAATATCCATGATTAACAAAATCGGACGAACAGCAGGGACCGTCCTGCTCTGGCTCCCAATTCCTTTCAGTAGCCGTATCGTGCGCGCCATCGCTGACAAACCCGACAAGATTGCTCCTTCTGAGGGCCCTAAAAAGAATCTTGTGCTTAAACGACGCCTCCAAGCCATCGAGGGTTTGGCACTCCCACTGGAGCTTGATGATATACCTCCCCCCCATAAGCCGGAGGGCATGATGGACAAGATGAATGAATATGGTGTCAGATTCGACAAGTATAGAAATAACAAGAAGGAAAAGAAGAATGAGACTCGACGTAGGGAACTAGCTCGTTTAGAAGCAGGTGGCTCTGACTTGAGCCGGTGGGAAAGGCTGCAGCGTATGAGGATGGAACACAACAAGAGACGAGGCGGTCTGATAAGCTCGATCCTTGGGCCGAAGGAGTCCAAGCTAGAGAGGCGAGTAGCGAATGCCGACCTTCTTGAGCACTGGGGTACTGAGAAGGTTGTTTGGATCGTCATAATGAACGAAGACAAAGGTAAAGCTTTTTTCCTTTATTTCCTTGGTTTTATCTAATATTTGATAGACCAAGAAATCCAAGGAGTCGAGATCGCGGATAGTCTTGATGATGAGGAACGCATTGATGACAACATGTGGAACGAGGTTATGGAGTTGGAGCGCGATGAATTAGACGAGGAGTTGTTAATAGAGGCAGATTCAAAGAAGTAGAAACACCGTACTAAGGGAAGACGGACTTTCTCATGATGGACATTAGTTTGATTGGCCAATTAAACGAGGTATACCGAAAAGAACACCCCAAGAATTACTTACATGCTGGCCATGGACGCTTCTGATTTTCATGCAGGTAACAGTTGTCACGTGGTGGTGGGCGTGCCGTTTTAGGCCGCGTATCCCATCATCTTCTTGGAGACGAAAACTGCTGCAGGCAACGGAAAAATTCAGTGTTAGTACTTGAAGAACATCCTTGCAAAAGGGGGAGGTGCGGCTAAAATCCGGCACATAGGGTGGGAGGGAGGGTTCTGAGCCTTAAACGCAAAGTAACATACACTTTGCGTGTCCTATTTTAGGATATATGACACCGTAGGCCTTACCTGGTTGTGCAAATCGTCTTCATTTGGATAGCTTGCTGTGAATAAAGACTATCTTGTTGTGAAATACCCTTCGTAGACATGTTTCTCCCTAATTATGTGAGATATGGGGGCCAACCGACAATCATCGGCAGCACCCCGGCACACACCGGCATCTCTTCGGTAACTAAGTACCGAGCTTGCGAGGGGAAGAGGTGCAAGGAGGAAATCCACCCAGCTTGCGAGGGAAAGGTCGCAGATGCAGCGAGAAGGAAGAAATGAGCTTGCGAAAGAAAAATATATTCTTGCACGCATCCCAACTCGAGCTAGGTCGCGAGCTTGTGCCGTGCACAGAGTCTGTGCACAGATGTCCATTTTACCAATTCGAGCAGGCGCTTCTCGTCGTCTGGCATTCCTGCATCGAAATCTTACAATGCCTCTACAGTATGACCCTGTCATTGCCAATCTTAACTGTCCCGCCGCTGGAACCTGTGATATTTACTTCAGTAGCTTCAGCGTCTCGTCTCCTTCAGACACAATCCTGTATAGAAACGAAAGCAAAGCCAATCTGTCAAAGATGTAGGTCAGCCAAAAGGTCGTTACTCCAGCGGAAGAAATATATATATGTTGCTGACCTGACAACCAACAGAACCGCGAAAGTCCTTGTCGTTACTACTCCATGCAACACACGAGTCCCGTGCCTCCAACATAAGAATTCGCAGGCCGACTAGTGTGCAGCTCAGATGACCATCGTGTCATCAGCCCCTCGTTCTTTTCAGTGTGGGCTTTCAAGCCAGGCTGTTCCCTATAATTTACGCATAGCTTCATCTTCGACCAGACTTTCCTCGCCGACTTGGAAGCAATGTTTCTCGCCTGAACTAAGTCTTTCTCCTCGAAACCACCAGAAAACGACCGCCAATTCGTCCAAACGCACTTGGCGCGCTCATCAAGTCCGTCGGCGAAAAGGAACGCGAAGCATCCACCCGCATCCAAAAGCCGCCTCTTCGCCAGATGGATCGACGATGAATTGATTCTCTGAAGCCAATCGGCCAACAGTAACGGCGCAAACTACTTTCATGGGTATGGAAGAGGCATTGAGAAAGGCGAGTGTGCTGACATTGATCATTGCCGCTGTCAGGCCGTCTTTCCAGGTTTTTGGAGGTAAGCTGAGGGCCTGGACAACCAGCTGAACAAGCGTCCTAGGGTTTAGGGTGAGGATTAAAGATGGTGTCAGGGCAGATGCAATGTCGGATGCTAGTGATTTGGATTCTGTCGCATGAACATCCAGCATAGCTTTTGAAGGATTTTCTGCGCATAGGCGAACTGGACGCCAGTGCCATATTTTCAGGTCCTGGAAACGGTGTTGAGCAATGGTCATACTAACATTTTGCAGTAGATTTACCGAAGCCAAACCGTGCAGACCCATCCACACGCGCTAAATTGTCGAAATCGAGACTGAAATCGCGCAAATCATTGTTTTTAAGTCCGTGGAGGGGCAGAGGAAACGTTGCCGATTTGGGTTTGACGTGTGGCTCGGCCCAAGGCAACATGAAGCGTAGCCCACATTGATAGCCCTAGACAAGTCGATGGGCTCGTTATCAATCGCTACGCATGATAGCAGGTTCTACTTACAGCATATCCAATCCTAACGAGTTGTCCACATCGGTCACGGAGAGCGTTGATCTCGGCATCCGTAAAGGCACTCGAGGAAGAGGCAGAGGCGGCACTCGCAGACGTCTGAGACGACGAAAGATCCTTTCCCCGACAGCTGACAAGAACAGTACCGGACTCTTTAACAGAGTCCATTCGGGTACGGAAAATTCGACGCGTATCGGGCAAGTGTTGACATGAATGAGAGTAAGAAGATAAGTAGTGTATCAAGCGTCAACACGAACGCATCAACAGAACTGACCACATGATCACACATCAGACACGGGATCGGATATCCGGACCGTCATTACTTGACCATTAACGGAAAAAATATAATGGAATATGCTCCTGGCCAGACTTGAACTGGCGGCCCCCAGATTATGAGACTGGTGCTCTAACCAACTGAGCCACAGAAGCTTGATGTACAGGCTCTGTGCATACATCTAGCTGCGTGCACAGACTCTGTGCAGACCTAGATGTATCATATTCAAATTCCATCGGAGGTCCCCGGCGGACCTTCAAACAAGAGCTTTGCTACTGACCATTCTGTCATCCTATAGCTACGATGCCTCCAGCTGAGCTGACTGCATGTATTCTCACCGAAATCTGGGCCGGTTCAACTTCCACTGAGGAGCACATCAATATTTTCGCTACTTGCTCTCTGGTATCCAAACAATGGGCTGCCATCATCAAGGGGCTCGTTGATCCCTTTCTCGTACAACAGAGGACAGCTTTACGCCATCAAATCACTGTACTCAATCTCGAATCCTCTGCGCTAACAATCCACTATCGTTCTTGGGTGATTGGCTGGTTAGGAAACAGCGTTATCGTCGTTGCGAATGTGAGAAAGCCTCCGTCGAACGTCAAGTCGACCGTCTTGGCAGCCACACCTGACCTAACGAAAGGACTAATTACCCCTCCTAGCAAATGGAAACCTGTCTTTGTTGATTATCGACTCGTATGTCTAGGACATCCCTATTCCAGTCTCCTCTGGGATCTCTGTCATTCGAAGAAGTGATCAATTTCGATACGAGATTGTGGAACCCGATTTGTCGTGTCATGCCATGTTTTGCAATCGCAGAAACCAGGCGTTTTGGCTTGACAGATCCTTCAGTATGTTGTCATGGTCATCCACGTATTCGAATACTAATTATTTTATCGGTTTAGCATCTTTTGATGTCTTCGACATCCCAATGTTTGAACAGGCTATTCCTGTCGGGTCTGTGTGTTACATCCACCCGATGAGCAGGAAATTTATTATACTGTTCAATGTCATCGAGCCAGGATCGTCACCCGGACTCAGCTCAATCTCTTTTCTTCCTGACAGTGGTGTGACGACGATGGTCATGGACCCAAATCGTTCCTAGGGCGTAGCGTGGGAGCGTAACTACGATGCAATATCGTTGTTCGCAGACTGGATTCTACGGGGCTCGTGGGTTCCTCCTTAGCTTAGAAACAATTCTGGCTACTAACCGAGTTGGCAGAGTGTATACAGTTGGACATGACACCCCACAATTGCTATTTCTTACGCTAGAGCGAGCCTGCAGCAAGGAACTCATAGGAACTCATTTTGAGGCTTGGTTACTGGACCATAAACAGAAGATCCTAGACATTTTCGGAGAGGAGCACCCATATATTCGAAAACGCCTGGACCTTGGTGTGGTCTCCTTATTATAAGCTATGGTTTTAACCCGCTAACATGCTTGAAGTGACAACCGCAGTAGATTTTTCTCAGTATGGTTGGTTTGCCCATCTAGGCTACAGATCCCTGCGATTTGCCCGGGAATGGAGACGGAATGTAAGTGTGCTATCGACACTCTATCATATTATGTGCGTTGCCTCTTACAAACTTTCACAGTTGTACTTTTGGCTAGCTTCTCTACATGTCCCTGGAAGCCCCTGGGGAGAGTTCAAAATACCAAAATATCATGACCTCAACGATCTAATCTTTTGGAGCCACGTCTCCACCGTGGGTCAGTCACCGATGACTGTGCATATTCAGTCCCAGTCTCTTACTTAGTCCCACGCTGCTGACTACTGTGTTGTTTTTGCGGCAAATATGATTCGCCTTTACAAAGATCGGATCTTTTGAGATTGATGGATGTGGATTTTATAGAATTTATAATTGCCAGCTTCTTACCGTGTTCTTCCTGTGCTCTTTTCTTCCCTACTGTGCGACTTACAAGTCCATCTGTGTGTTTTCTGTCTTCCCGTCACGATGACGCCTCTCTTCCCCTCCCACTTACTCTCTGATTTGGTGAACTCGTCTTTGAACTACGAATCAATTGCCATAGTAAGTATCAGGATCAACAGCTTTGATCGAAGCCCATGTGGTTCTTATTGCAAGCTTTCTCCTTATTTTTGTTCACTTCCGCGCTTATTGCAGACTTTTGTAGACGCACCCACGGCACGCGTTCTTAGTTGGTGCATTTGGCTCTCCTCCGGACAGTGCGCTTTGTCCTATTCCTCAAGACTCGAAATTCCACGGCTCAGTCCACCACATTTTGCCCACCTCTACGTCCTCACATACAGTGATGGGTCAGGTCGCGCGGGATGGAGCGGGCATCCGTTTCCAAGACGGGTTTCATTACGACTCCAATCCAGTTACCACCAACTTGAGGGCTAAGTCTTTCGGGATGCACTCTCCTGACGCGAGGGTGCACTACCGCACTCAACCCAACACAAAAGGTATACTGGCAAAGGGTTTACTAGGACATGTTGTCTCCATCGTTGATTGCTTTTCACCAGCTAGTCTCCTTGCAGCTCAATGTTACCGTAGTTCCACTTGCATGTCTACAAAACTTCGATCTACCTGTCGCTTAGGTCGTCGACACGATCGGCCTTCCCGCCAACAACTGTCTTTTCTGTGTAGATATACCAATTGCGCATGGATGTCCCTTCTTAGTCCTTACCACTATACCATCACTCATCTAGGAAGGCTGAAGATGACATGTATAGCGGACCGCGTAAGTTGATCCTCAGGTCGATGCTTTCCTCGCATTTATACTGACGAAAGCAAGCTATCACAGGATTGGATCATCACCGTTACAGGCGCCGATGAGAATAATTACGCGTTCACTTTCGGAAGCCGTTTCCTTCCCAGCTTCCTCATGTCTAAAATCTTAACACTGATGGGAGGTTTCAGCCTGATCTGGTATACCGGGTATACATCCTGACACATGAGTTTTCCACTATGGAATGCTGCCAAGGGATACGGGGACCACCTTTTTACCGGGGAGTGTGCATGCGTTGCGTGTAAAGTCTCCACGGCGATCCACATGCTCTTCCAGTCGGTCGCATGTGCAGACAAACTTACAGGCGGTAGTCTGAACTATACCGACAGCCCAGTGAGTCTTTAGAAGTATAACCTCTATTTAGTGCTTACAGCCAAGTTTCAATATAGTACTTCATTTCATAAAATTTCAAACGTACGTGAGACTCGGAGGAAATAGAGTCGAGTAAGTGTAGGGAGCCGCAATACTAAATTCGTGCTCCAATGGAATGAATTACTACAGGATCCATTCGGGGCCGAAGGCCAAGGCGATAGAAAGTCATAGAAATCTTTTACGATGACGGGCGCAACCGCTCTAGTGGAGAACAGAACAGTGAGGTGGAGTGTGATGCAGGTCGAGAAAGCAAGCCCACTAGAGAAGATGAACAGCGCGGGAGCTTGGGACACGAAGGCCGGTATTAAGTGCTATAGAAGACTCCCGGCGCCCGCGTCCATTTAATAGAGATGCTTCGGCGAACAGCGCTAGCGCTCACTCGGAGAATGGCGAGGAGACGGGTATCGAAGATTCGACTCCACTGCGAAGCTTGCTTGCAACAACTCCGATTATGTTGGCTCCATTTAACTTATCATGAAGCAACTACAAAGTTTCGCTGGACAACCGTAACGTATATCGAATGTCTTACGATCCTTTGGGACCCTTCAAAGGAACATTAGTACGAAACTATGATGCCTCATCCGGCCACGCTGTTTATCGATTGGGGAAGTGGAGTAAGTATAGATGGCAAGGTGAAACCCGCATACCGGTGGAGCGAGAAAGGCATAACATTTCACTCCTAGATCTGACTCACACATTTTACCGCAGAAGGAGTCAAGTACTGACGTCGTCCGTCGACGATTTCTGACAAGAAAAGTGTGCACGGTACCACTGGCAGCGGTCATATGATCGACCCGCGTCTAAAGTTGGGAAATTTCCGGAATAACCCACAAAATGCTTGGTGACAAGGTCTCGCTTGGTCCTTGGATGTTTCGACGTCACTCTGATAGGATCATTCACCCCAGTCCGGGCTGTGGAGAACCGCGCTATCAGCGTTACTAATACATACGATGACGACGCGCAAATCCCCCGGTCGCTCTGCCTACGAATTAGACCTGGCAAAAAAAGTTGAATTAATTGCGCGGAAGTTGTCAAAGCAGACGTATGCATGGTAACTAACTAACATACATGAACAACAATAAAATGATAGGAAGGATGGTATTTAGTCCGATCGTATGTTATGTGAGTAAACGTGGCGGTATACTAGTATGATACTGGAATAGATATGAATGCTGATAAACCAAACTACGAACACGAAAAATACACTAACTCGACCAGATGGCTCCGCTTCCAGGCGCCCTTCTGGGCACGATGACTCGCAGCATCTCGCCGTCGAATTCGGCACGGACCTGGACGAGGTCGGCGTCATAACCAAATGATATGCGCCGTTCAAAATGACCTCCGCCAGCATCCCACGAGTCTGCGACGACATGTAATATACGCCTCCGCTTTGTAGCTAGTGTTCTGTGGCAACCTAATTAGTTAATTGCAAAAATTAAAAAGAGCGAGGTACGCACATGCCATCACGCTTGAAACCCGGTAAGCACACGTTGAGACGGTACTCCTGGGGAGTGGTCTCGACTTCGATCCACGAGTCTGGAGGCGGGGGTGCGTTAGATAGGAATGGTTCATGGGGGGCTAATGATGGCTCCGAATGTGCCGGAGGCTGCTGTGAAGGGAGGATTGTTGGAGGTTCGGGCGCTGGATACGAGTCCGAGGATGCAGAGGATGAGGGTCTGGTTCGTGATATGGAAGGAGGTCTGGGAATAGGTGTCGGGACTGGGAGGGACGTCGGACGCTGAGTCTGGGATTGGGGCTCAGGCAAGGGAGGCGAAGGAAGGGGCCCAGGGTTCTCATCCTCCTCAGTAACTGGCGCTGCTTTTGGGAGGGTATGGTATGGTATTTGTGGTGGTATTGGTAAGGAGGCAGACGATGTCCGGTCAATTTGAGACGGAGTAGCAGCGGCAAGAATTGGGGAGGTGGGTGAGCTCTGCGACGGCAGCGAGTAGGGCCTTGGATACGGCAGAATCTGCTGGCCCGTCGATGTTCCCGACGTCGTTGTTATGTTCGTCCAGTCCGACTCAACTTGTT